CATAAAATTTTTTGGCTTCGCAAAACCACCAGCATGTTCGGAGATAGCTTTCCAGAAAATCCCTAAGTAGTAATGTTCTCATAATGGAATACGAATACCCCTGAATGCAAATTTTTAGCCCACTCGAAAGAAAATATCGATGTTGAGCTCTGCATTTGTTAGAGTGAAGGCGTAGTGCGTAGTTTCTCTGATAGAGGTAGTAATAGGGTGCAAATCAGTTGCTGAAACTTCATGACCTCTCACAACTCTGCTAGCTACGTGGCGGCAAGTCTTTCTGGTTATATACAGTCGAGTAGATTTCTCGCTTAATAGTGCGCTTGCAGAGAAGGTGAAATGCGGTAAAATCTGCGCGTAAACAAATAGTTTCGACTGTGACGCCGGCCAATTGCGGGCGCAAAATGCCGGCAGTACTGGCATGGCTACTTCACGCGCAAGTTGAACCTCATTTCACCTTCTGTGCAAGAACACTATGTTAAGCGGAAAATTCTACTCGGCTGTACTTAAATCCCCTCCCCGCTCGCCATCGCCTGTCGAAGACTACTTTATTCTGGTCCTGATCAGTCCCTGCCATTTACAATATCAGCAATAAACGCAGATTTCGCGAACACTTTGACTGCCTAGCAGCTCATGTCTTTCTCCAGATATAGTGTTTCAACGGATAATTGGCAATTATTAATCGCATCAATTAGGTGTGATTTCTCCCATACAGCCATCCTACGTTCTACGAATCTGCGATTGTCTTAAGACTGAGGCCCGTAGTAAGCCCCCTCTCAGCCCAACTCGGCTGGGGGCGGGCCTATGTTGAACGTAGAACGACTCAGTCCGGCATCCGGTGATCCATCGATCCGGATTCGATCGCTTTGGAGATTCCGAGATCTTCTGCGTTTTCAAAAACTAAACCTCTTGAGCGGTTTGGTCAAACGGCTAAGTGAATGGATTTCAACGCGAAAGTCCATGGTTCAAAGCCGGCCAACGGCTAACTTTTGCGCCACCGAAGGACAATCTTTGATAGCGGCCGTTATGAGAAAAATCGATGGTGACCGCTACCAAGGATATCGCCAAACAAATGATGGAAAAACAAACAAAACTACCACATTTTAACAGGGAATTCATGAAAAACGAAAATTTTTGAACATAGAGCAAATAAAAAAATCCAAAAATCCCTGTTTCTAGCAGTTTTGAAGAAAAAACTTAGTCAAGCTTTGAAAAAAAAGAAGAAATTCAAGAAATCCTGTTTTCTCGTTTTTTCGCCGCAATCAGCTGTTCATCGATCCTCTCCCATTTAGGCCGCCGAAAACGTGCAATTTTGGGAGTTTTGCGCCGTAAGAATACGTCGGCTAGATTGTCCCGTAAGTTACTCACGAGCAACTTACGGGAAATTTGTCTGATCCTCCTCTTAAGCACACTATTTCTCTCGGGTCACCCGAATTTTCAACCTCGGATAAGTGGCATTCTGGTGAACTGACTATGACACTTGACAGGATATTCTTCTGACTGTTCAACTGACTATCCTAAAGCATGGGAAGGTGGGCGGGACTAGGGTCACCCGAGGAAGTTCTTCTGAATGATTCATCTCAAGTCACCTGGGATGAATGGGGGTTTACTACGGGCCTGAGTGATGGCTGGTGATGGCTTTTACCTCCTGGGCTAGCACTCCTCTCTTATTCACTTCCTGCTGAATAGGTAAACAATGATGAGAAAATAACAGGCAAATGCATGGAATCCACGCTTAGCAAAAATTATAAGATGTTGTAATAAGATGTTGTAATTGCGGGCTAAACATTTTTTTGCGAAGCACCAGAGCTTGAAAGGGAACAGGGAATGGAACTTGATAACCCGAGCTAATTAGCTCGATTTGGGGAGTTCTTGCAGGGTACGGTCATGCTCGTTGTTTCTGATTGCTCCCTAGGATATGGCGACAATCTAAGCCCCGCTTTAAAATTCGTGCAAGGAATGCTGAAAACCTAATTGAACTTCAGGCCACTGAAAGTAGCTCTTAGCAAAGATCTTTGAAATGATCGGGAAGGAAAAATTGGTATCAAAGGAAGGAAAATCGTGCCTTCATCGACAGATAGTTTATGGTTTGCATAAACTATAGTTTGAATAATTTTTACCCTAAAATCTTGCAGATAAGTCCGTTTCTTTGAAAAGAAAAATCGATGAAAATGCACCTCTCGCACTGCCAAAAATCTTGCAGATAAGTCCTTCCATCAGATAAGTCCACCAACAGATAAGTCCGGACTTATCTGATAAGATTTCAGGGTAGTTATAAAGGAAAGAAAGCGGACTTATCTGAAGGCCTTATTTGAGTCAAAAAGCGGACTTACCTGACGGCAGACTTATCTGTAGACGGACTTACCTGGGGGAGGACTTCTGTGAGATTTTAGGGTAATTTTCTAGTCCTTTGCCCTAATTTAGCACTCAAATAAACTACATATTTTAGGGAAGTTTGAAAGTTTCTTGAGTAACTTTTTAGCGTTTAGTCCAAATTTAATACTCTAATATAGTTTTGAACAAAAAGAATGTTGTGTTCAATCAATTTCAATCAGTAGAAATTTAACACGTTGACGACGGTGTCGCGCAATGGTGCGCGACAGGCAGTCTGTCCCTGTGGACGATGTTGCGCAATGGTGCGCGACACCCTAAACATCAGGTTTAATGTGCACAATGGTTCCAATTTGTGTTCATATAATCAAGTTAGGCTCGAAAGTATTTCATGTTGGCCCCGCCCCTTTTCAGATGACAGAGGAACTTTAAATAATCTTAATTTTGACCCCGACCCCCGTAATGCAGGCTCCACCCCCTCAGTAGCAAGCTCCGCCCACTTTTCAAGATGCCGGAATTTGCACAAATCCATCGATTTTGAGCAATTTCCAGCATTTTTGAGAAGTGGGCGGGGCTTGCCAAAAGTGGGCGGAGCTGCCCCGCCCACTGGCATTTGTGTATCTCACGCATAGATGCATGCATATATATGTGCAACCGGCTGTGAAAATGCCCGGAAACGGTTCGTTCACAGGGACAGACCTTCAAAAATTGGCTCGTCGTCAACGTGTTAATGATGACGGTACGGTTCTTCTCTTTCGTTTGAGCCTAATTTCACCTTCGTAAGATCGTTTTGAAGGTATTTTGGCAAAGAGCCAGTTTTAGTGAGCTGGAGTTCAATTGAGTTTTTCAGCATTCCTTGGGTTTGAGAACGAGCTTGGGTGGGGAGGGGGGGGGGGGAGAGTGATTAGATTGCCCTGGAGAGCAAACGGAGACAGTGAACATGACTGTACTCAAGCACCCCAGAATCAGGGCTCAGCACAGCTGGCACCGGGTCAAGCTGGATATCGTTTTTAGCGCGGAAAGCAAAGGGGATATCGTTTCTACAGGGGCCGAGGCGGAGAACTGCCGCAAAAATGCCGCCGGCATGCCACCGGCATGCCATTGGCAAGCTGTCCATCAACAAACAAAGGCGTTGTTTTCAGCCAAAACGCAATAGTATGATACCAAATTTGGTGTGTGCATGCGCGTTGGTGGACCGGAACTACAGGCCAAAAATTTATGAACACTTATGTGAATGAAAGCTGTGCCGAACTTTTTTCTGAATTAGCTGGCACCGTGCCAGCTGGGTGGGTGCCATAAGTTTTCATACTTTTTTACATAAAATGTATCTACATTGTAAAAGATTACATACGGAGAAGAAACAGTTTGATAATGTTCTCTTTTCAGCGTTTTATAGCAACTTGAAAACCACTCGGTCCGCTTCGTAGTCGAAAAATCGGCTTTTTCTGCTTCTCAAGATGTGATTCGACCACTTAAAAAGCTCAGAAAGCTGTGAAAAGTTCTTTCATGAAATCAGAAATGCATGAAAACACTACTACATTTTTTTACATAGTATAAAAATGATGACGGGTTTTCAAAACAGGTCAAAAGGGACTTCGTACAAATCTTCAATATCAAACGGGACTTCGTTTTAAGATTTCCCTGGTGCCAGCTCGTGCCGAGCCCTGCCCAGAATCGAGCTAAATACGCTCGGGTTCCTAAGTTTCCGCACCCGAGCTTGAGTTCAGAAGTGTGGGCCGTGAGGTTAATAAAAGCATTGATTGCGGTTGCAAAAATGAAACAATCATTGTTGCTATTCGATAGATCTGTGGTAGTGGTATGCTAAGAAGTGTACTGCTGACTTACGAACATTAACCTTTTTGGATTGGTGCTGCACATGTTGCAGCATGCGGCCTTATATGGTCTTCTTGTATCCCATAAAGTGTTTTGTCATATTCAAAGAAGTTAAGTCAAGGGCTCATACTCTCAAGATAACCTCATGAAGGTGTGCCGCCGCTATCCGTTTAGGAGATACCATCACAAGTTGGACAACGGTTTCAACAAAGTGCGGCAAGGGGACAACGCGTGCGACGTCGCAAAATTTGTTTGTTTGTTTCCAAAAAATTGATACTGATATTTTCAGTGCACGACATATGTGATTTGGTGAAGTTTGATATTGAGGTTTTGTTTCCATAAAAAAAACACAGCTTCTTCCTCAAGGAGCACAATTCAGTACTTCAAATTCTTCAGGAACTTTGGGTGTAGCTCATTTGACATGCTGTGTCAAAGTTGTAGCACTCATCATTCGAAATAAGAATAATTTGACATAATTCATATAGTTCACACTGATTGATCTGCAGGTGTTTCTTGTTCGTATGCCTGAATTAGCACAGTTGGGTCATTTTAATGATTGAAGTCAACTTTTGTGCCCATACATATGTGCTTTTCTTGCACAACACACCCGTTACGGACCACTTAACCGGAGCTTCGCGTGAATATCTTCACTCAGGAGCCCGTATTCCACTAATTTCAACCGTGAACAAATTAGAGCCTTATAGACAACAAATCATAATTTCTTGAACTTGGCAGGTCAAGATAGGTGCAATATTCTGAGGCAGCTTCTCTTTTTTTTTGTAGCGAAAATGTTGTTTATTCTCAACAAAAAAAACTTTGAAATTACATAAGCGAAGGATGTTGAATTTGTCTAATTTGGAGATGCTAGTTGCTGGCTGATTTCTTGCACACGTATTTCCTCATCCTTGTTCCACACTCAACATCGTTCCAATGCGTTTTCGATCCTTTGTAATCATCTTGCAGAATCTGAATCGATTTGTTAGAACTGTTGATAAATCGCATCACAGCCACAGCACAAACGTTTCTTTTCGAACAGTTTGGCATTCTAGCACATTGAAAAGCTCGTGAACTTACCTCGGCGCAGGCGTACTTGCTGGCGTCCTTTTCCGGTCTGCCTTTCATCCAGTTCATGTAGGTGGTGCTACTGCCATCTGCCCATGTCCACTTGTTTTGCTGGAAGTACACCGAATAATGAGTTTACCTGTTCACTAATTCATGGTTTTCTTTTTTGAAGCTTTCATAAGAAGGGACCTCACGTGTATGCTCAATGAAGGTGTGTTTTCAGAAGCGCCACCTCACACTGCTAATGAATTACCCTAAAATCTTACAGATAAATCCGCTTTTTTGACAAGAAAAATTGATGCAAAAGCACCTCGCATCGTCTTGCAGATAAGTCCTCTCCTTAGATAAGTCCGCCTTTATACAGATAAGTTCGGACCTATCTGACAAGATTTCAAGGTAGTTATAATGAGAAGAAAACGGACTTATCTGAAGAGCCATATTCGAGTCAAAAAAAGCGGACTCATCTGACGGCGTTATCTGTAGACGGACTTTCTGATGGGAGGACTTATCTGTGAGATTTTAGGGTATGAAAACTACAGATAGCATACTAAATGAGGTTCTTTTTGCTTGAGCCTTCCAGTGTACAACTAGCTGATGAAAAAATTTGGATGCTGGTGAATTTAATAAATCGTTAATTATTGAATGAGGTGAATTTTGTGCAAAGCACACGCTTTCACAGCTTGACACACTTGAAGCGTCATCTTTGTGAGCTGCAGTGAAGAGAATGGTTTTTCGACTAAAAACACTGGGCTCTAGTTTTTTACCCTCCCCCCCCCACAACTAGCAATATTCTGTCTGTTTATGATGGTTTATAGTTGTAAAGATATAGCTTGCAGTGTCAACGCTCTGCAACTGCTATTACTTTCATTGTCATAGTTTCATCCAGCTGTTGCATCTGTTTGTGGATTCTGGATGACTGTTAAAAAAAATTACTGTCTGCTTGAGACTAGCGACTTCCTGTTCATTTAATAAGCTGATCTGTCGGGGCAATCATGAGAGGAAGTTGTCAAATTTTTGAAACCTATTTTGTCACGTTGAGGCCTCCCAGTAATGACATGAACATTTTTAGGTAGATATGACTAACAATAATTTTTTGTTTTTTTTTGCAATAATCAAGGCTTTCTTCGCTTGCTGTTATTCAAAAGAATATGGGTTTATAAAGCGCGGTTCATAATTAAACGAACACCCAAAATTTTGTGAGTTTTTGGACTTTTTGGGAGAATCTCAAAAAGCCGTTGGTACCACGCTATAGAACACAGCCGAAAACGGTATATGATCCATAAAAATGGAAATCCATGTCAATTGTAGGAGTGTTTTTGCGCCTAATGCGAAATTTTAGCGGTTCATAATCATACGAACACCTCAAACAAAAGTCCATTTTTCATTCAAGATCGCAATCATTTGAGTCCAAATTTTTTGTAGAGTTACAGTAACAAAGTCTGACATATCTGCTATTACTGAACCCAGTGCAGTTCAAAAAGAGGACCATTACTTTCTTCAAAAGGGGCTAAATGCTTTTGGAGTGATTGCGCTCCAAAAACATCCGTTCTTCTGTGGTTTACGCGCTCTAATTAGCTTCTACCAAAGCTATGAGATGAAATAAGCTCTTGCGATAAGTATTTTGTTTGACGATTGGAAAATCTTTGCGTTTTCGTGCCGTTTTTCAACCAAGTTCCAACCTTACCACAGAGTTAGCACGATTTCGAGCCTCAAAACTCAACTTCTGAAGCCGTACAATGAAGTAAGCATATAGTATGTAGAAGTTCACAAGACTTTATATTTGGCTAGAAAAAATCAGCAGCGTTGAGCGCTTGTTTTGGTCACGCAGACGTTATTTCACCAGAAATACTGTTTTTATTATTGCAATCACACCTTTATTTGGTTTGTAGCTCCACAGCGGCAAGATCAGTTCTAGAAAAAACCCAGAAACTTTGGCACAGAAACATTATCATGCAAGCAATGCAGCTGCTTCATATCAAATGTTTGCGCAAGAGAGAAGCTGAGTTTTGAGGCTCGAAATCGTGCTAACTCTGTGGTAAGGTTGGAACTTTGTTGAAAAACGGGACGAAAACGCAAAGATTTTCCAAGCGTCAAACAAAATACCTATCGAAAGAGCTTATTTTATTTCATAGCTTTGGTAAAAGCTAATTAGAGCGCGTAAATCATGAAGAACGGAGCCCAACCACTCCAAAAGCATTTAGAGCCTTCTGAAAAAAGTAACGGTCCTCGTTTTGAACTGCATCGGGTTTAGTGTATAGCAGATTTGTCAGACTTTGTTACTGTAACTCTACAAAAAATTTGGACTCAAATGATGAATTCATTTAATTTTTGAATGAAAAATGGACCTTTGTTTGAGGTGTTCGTATAATTATGAACCGCTAAAATTTCGCATTAGGCGCAAAAACACTCCTACAATTGACATGGATTTCCATACCGTTTTCGGCTGTGTTCTATCGCGTGGTACCAACGGCTTTTTGATCTCCAGAAAAGTCCGAAAACTTACAAAATTTTGGGTGTTCGTATAAATATGAACCGCACTTTAGTCTCCTATTCGAAGCAAGACATCACAATTCAAATAGATCATTATTCTAGAGCTGTTCACATCAGAAAATTCCACCGAGGAAAGAGTTTAGGCCAGAAAAGCTTCGAAAAAAGCGTATGGTCTAAAATCTAGTCAAGAAGATACCTGGTATCTAAGCCCGATCCACGTCATCTGATTCTCATTCAAGCTCTTGCCCACTTCAGTGAGTGCTAAAAGCAGTACATTTTTGCCTCAGATGATACATCTCCACATAAGGAAATTTGCTCCTACTGGAACGTATAGTGTGTACTGAATCATTATGATAGTAACTTACATGCAACAAAATTGTTTTCAAAAGCGTTTTGAATGGAGGTCAGGTGTGCGCCCAATGAAACACAATCGGCTTCTGCGGAATCGTAATTATTGTCGCTTCCCACCTGCAAAGTTTCTCTAGTGTGGTATCTGGACCGTAATTGCAGTACTACTAAGCAGTAGTACGACGGGAAGTTCATGCAACTTACGTAGTAGCATGAGTTAGTCATATCGAAGTAGGTCCAATCCGAATCACAGTGGCCCGTAGACGCTACTGAAGATACAGTTTTTGAACTTTCCTCGGGTTTAATTGTACATACTTTTATGGCCAGTGCACTATACTGTTATAACCATCTCAAAACTTACATTCCGCTGGAAGAGCGCATACCACGGCTAAAAGAGACGCAAGTACAAGGTACTTCATCCTGCAATTATGGAACAATCGTAACACAATTAAAATGCGCTAAATAAGTCACAATAAGAACAATATGTGCAAATTGCAATCTGAGAAACCTTGAGCTTCGTGGTGAAGCGCGCAGAACATGCTTATCGGTTTCCTGGAGGTTTTATAGCTTTTGATAAGCTGCATCCGCTTTTTGTGCGTCTATATTGTTTCGCTGACGTAATAAGAATTATCGCAGTGGTTTGCTGAAGATGCTCAAACAACACCAACCAAAATGCACGTAATGCCTTGCTCATCTTTGTGTATTTGTTCATTTTTCTACAAACTTTATCGCATTCCAAAGCCAGAGAAAATGTGAATGGTTGTTACAGAGTCCCAAAAGAATGTGAACACTATTTGATCGTTAATAACTTTATTGCTACTATGTCTTTCGCCGAGCTTGAGCATTCCGTAAAGCGAGGTTCAACTTAGATTCAGTGTATGGAGCGGATCCCCAGACAATCTTCGTTAGTGTAGAATTACGATGTGAACTTTGAGGAAAATTTTAGGATTTTGAAAGCGTTTTTTGCCTCAGATTGAAAACCAAACAAGCCAGATACTCTTGTACTGGACTATCAAAGTCGCTGATTCTGAATGTGAAATCACACTTCACTGCAACGCTTCTTTCATAAGTTAGAGGTTTAGAGTAACAACTGTTTTTCCAAAGAGTTCGTAAGAAGTGTGATTACATTATTGAAAAAGCACGAAAAACTGGTAGAAAATTATGTAGTGAAATCAGCATGTTTGAAAGCATTTCTACATAGATTCCCGCATTTTTTGGAATATTTTCCATACGCTAGAAGTTCATACCGTAATCCTACAGTAATGAAAAGTGGCTGGTGATCGGTCCATACAGTAAATCTAAGTTGAGCCTCGCTTTCCAAAATAGTTCAATCTCGGCGGAAAACATGAAAGCAAGAGAGTTATAAAAGGCGGCGTCCAGGCAAGATCCATCCATCCAGATTAACACATAGTTGTAAAGAGGGGCCCATGAGTATCCGATCTGCATTGGTCCAATCCTTTGACGTGCCCTCTAAAAGGAGATAAGGGCCTGTGATACGTATCACAAACCACCCCTGAGGACGAGTGTTACGCAGGTGCGCGGTTGCATTGCAGTTGCATTGCGGTTGCCCTGCACATGCAATGCAACTGCATCCGTGCAGTTGCAGCTCCTCCCGCTGACATGACGATGGGGACGAGCAATTCAAACTCGTCCGCTCCTTGAAGAGAGGGTCTTCAAGAACCGGGTTTTCTGAAAGTTTTGAACAACTTGGACTTTACAACTGTAATCAGGGCCACGGAGAGGCCTCAGAATGGCAGGAACATGAGATGCGAAATTTTGCCTGGACGCTGCCGTTAACGATCAAACAATGTTCACATTTTTTTGGGCACCCTGTAATCAAGTTACCACACAGAAAGAGTCAGACAATATGGTTCATACCGAGAATTGCCCACAGTATTACATTCTTTGTTTGTTTTCGAAGGCACCCAGGATACTGATTTCTACAACAAGAACTTTATTTCATGGAGAGTCAGTATTTTCTGTAGTGACCGTTGCTTACTTCTTTCGCCAGTTCTTTTCAATTAATCGTGTTTTTCACTCTCCAGAAAACAAAGCCTTTCTTATGCCTGCCTGAAATGGGCATAGGCTCTGTCACATATCAAACTTTAGAAGGGATTTGGTGGTTCTAGAAGAAACCCTCTACAAGAAAACCCTCCCATTATTGCTAATTGTTGGATAGTAGCAGAAAAACTTTGATTACATTACAGTGCACCTGGCGAAAAAGTGAAACCGTGGAGTCCCGCAAGAATGGATTCACTTGAGATCTGATAAGCTTTTTTGATGGAGTTTAGACGCGTAAAGGGTGTTAGGTACCCTGTACTTGTCAATAATTTTCTGTCGACACACATTGTTCATTTCAGTGATTCGTGTAACATCCATATCTTCTTATTGCCTTTATTCTCCGAGATTCAGACCAAATTTTTTACCATCAATAAATGCGTGCCAGTTCCTGCAAGAACTCATTTAGGTTGGTGAACTGCCATGTGAATATTGTGCGAAATCTTGTACTGACACTGCCCTTGCGGCTCTTTGTTGCACAGTCTATGGCGATGCGCTGTTAACAGTTGTCATATCTTCTCAGCTGTCGATGTTTAACCTATAGTATACTGCTCTTCTTTAGAACTTGTCATGTAAACTGCTAAACTGATTTCCATTTCCATTTTCTTCGATCATTACCAAAGGATTATTCATTCTCATTCTCAGAAACAGTCGACATGGTGAAGATTGTCCCTTCTTACTCTTGGGAGGTAAATTCGGCTCTCCAATAATGAGCCGTTCCTTTACTAAAGAATGCTCTTAGTTGATGCCTAGCATGCAGTTCTTACTGTGTACAACTTGTGCGCTCAAATTCTGCGCCTTGTGAATAAACTAAATAAGCATTTCCTCTGCTCTCCGATTGTTTCTCTGTGCCTTTAATGGTCATCACAATCCACATTATTACAATTATCTTATATATAAAGCTGAATGTCTGTATGTCTGTATGTCTGTATGTCTGTATGTCTGTCTGTCTGTACGTATGTGCGGAATAGAAATTTTTATTTCTGAACCGATTTGGACCAAACTTGGCACACATATACTTCGGGGCAGGGAGCGTGTCATAGGCTACTTTTCGTTATCGATCGATATCGATTTTATCGACTTTTTGCAAAATTTGAGCTAGGGGGCTGGGATTTTGCACGGGGGGGGGTAATCGAGCATGCTGATCACCCCGGAGGGGTTGATCAGCATGCTCGATTACCCCCGTGCAAAATCCTAGCCCCCTAGCTCAAATTTTGCAAAAAATCGGTAAAATCGACATCGATTGATAAGAAAAGTAGACTATGACACGCTCCCTGCCCCGAAGTGTATGTGTGCAAAGTTTGGTCCCGGGCGGAGCCGGGTTTGCCATCTAGTTATCACTATAATATACAGTTGTCACTAGCATCTGTCATGTTTTGGTAATTTAACCCTGTGAATCTAAGTTATCTGAAACTGCAAGGGAAATTTTGACTACGCTTTTCAGGAGTTCTACAAAGACTTTTTGTACGACTGGATTGAAGCGCTGCAACAGCTCAACGATTTGACTGTTACTGAATCTCAGCCTCGATTAGTATGGTCCTTCGCAATCTTTATGGGATCCATCATAGTTTTCATTGGCTGCGCTTCATTAATGCTGCTTTCTTATAGTAAGTTTTTTTGACGTCCCATAATTTAAAAAAAGGTGGCCATTGACACTATCAAAAATCTTATGTCAAGACGTTGAAGTCATTGAGAAAATATCGCGATTTTTGTCTAGGCAGCTCAAATTGGCCGCACAATACAGCTTTAAAATCGTCAGAAAGTCACAGATCTCCACCGAAGATCACCGGTCTTGGTTGTGAGGGACAAATTTTGAATCCAACGGCACTGTGACTCATTTCGAAGTTCTCCTTTGACATGAATTCCCGTTCAATTACGGTGGTTGTAGGGAACGGTCAGATTTCACGAGCTTACAGTGATTCACTCAGGTGCTTATCCATTACATACTTATCACACTACCGCAGGCAAAACTCCACAATGATTCGTGGAATTTGAACGCCTACTATATTCAGACGGGCTCTTCGTATATCAGAAAATATGCCTCGCCGAGCTGAGTTGAGCGATGCTCTTGGTTTCAGAATTCATCCACTGTGAAAAAGATATGGCGGTAGGAGCGGATTTCGGTGAAATTCAGTGAAGTTAGGTACTTTTGCGACGAGTTATGAGGTCAAGGATAGCATACCTTTTACTGCGTGAATATTAGGTCAGCCAATGCATACAAGCATTTTGCTAACGTTGTGCAATTATTTTCACCAGAGGAAAATTGCCAGTACATTAGCTTATAGTTTTCTTTACATTATATCTAACCAGTGCGTCACCTCTGCTTCGCGGAGATTTGCACTGGCTGTCCTATCCATTTGCCTTTCTCATGTTCGCATAATGATGACTTTGAAACCCACCGTGCGATGCTGATCATACAAATGAATAGTAAACAACTGTTCATTCTTGAAGAATCTCCACCATACCTTTGATAGTCTAGAGACAGGGCGTCAAAAGTGAAGGTTATTTGAACATCTGACGTCTTAAATAGTGAAGGTTGTTTAAAGAATATCAGAGAAGAGAATATGACGTAAAACAGATATGAAAAGCAAAAGAAACTGCTGAAAACCATAAAAACGCTGCAAAGAGGTCTGAAGTCTTTCATTTGGCGGCTTTCCAAAGTGCAATTTTTCGCTCCAGGACCAGCAATTCGCAACACGGGGTTTTGATCTTTGATGCGTCCTTTAAATTTTTACCCCCGCATTGACGTTCCTGTTTCCTGGGACGTTGTCTGGATTGTTGCGCTTATTGTTCTGAGCAATAATCGCCCAAGCTGGAAAAAAATCGATGCGAAAGCACTGAAACAGAACACGGTGAAGAAAAACGCATTTTTTACAACTTTTCGCAAAATTTCCATCATAATCGAAGAGGTAAGGGCTGGGTTGTTGTCTGCATTAGGAACAGAAGCAAGATCTATAGAATGCACGAAAAAACCGCGTGAAAATAGTTGAACTAGGAGAAAAACAAGAGATTTTCGGAAACAATGTTTTTGTCGGATTTCTCGATCAAATCAAGAAATATGGTTCTGGGACGTTGTCAGCATGAAAATAGAGGTCAAGAGCTTCAAAATGATATATAGCTTGCTAAAATTGGGTTCGAAGCAGCGAAGGAAAGGGTACCAGAGCCAAATGCCCCGCGCCCCGGGTTTGGGGTAGTGAGATAGCGCGCAGCGCGCGGAGACGCAGACGAGCAGCGGAGACAGACCAGAGCCGACGGGGCATTTGGCTCTGGTAGTAGATCTTCGTTGGGTCTCATCGAAACCCCGCAACATTATATATCATTCTGATCGTCATGACCCGACGAGGAGAACCGACAACGTCCCAAGCTTTGAAAATCACTCATTAACGAGATAGACCAGCGTTTTTGTGCGCGACTCTCTGCGCAAGATTTAAGCGCAGTTTCTCGTTTTTATGTAACTCCAATAGCTTTCCTAAACTTCTGAAACCCGATTTTATTCAAATGAGAGGATAACTGAGAAATTTTGTCTTAAATTCTTGTGGAGATTCCACAGAAACCTTTTTTTTTAAGGTAAAAAAGGCTATGAAAACGCAAATATTCGGTTTCGCTGAGATAAGCTAAAGATATTATTTCCTAGATTTGCTTCATTAACACTCGTTCCGACATAATCAGGATAATAACATCCGAGTCGAAGCCCTGGATGACTTCTGTTTTTTTTTCTCCAGGTGAAGGTTGTGTCCCCCCATAGCCCTCAAAGTGAAGGTTACCAGAGTACGTCTCTCTATGTATCGAGGGTATGATCTCCACGTAAGATCGGTAATTTTGAGAGAAAAAAACTTGTCGCAGAGGAACACCTGCGAATTTGAATAGATTGCTGAATTTATTTTGGCTTGGCAGTCGTCATAAGGATAATAGTCACTTTGAGCTAAATTTCCGTGCGAAAATCTTTTCATATCTCAAGTTAAAACCTTGCCAAATCGACTATCTAAGCAATCACCACTTCTTGGCGCTGTCTTCGCAGAAAAGCAAACTTTTTGAGCATTTTTTGGGCTAGGATTCATGAGGCGCAGATGTACTTGTCAGGCAAATCGTGACTTCGCAAAAAGTCGAATTAATGACCTAGTTTTGCGAGCCCAAATGAGGGTGGACCCGTTTAACGCACGGTTTTCTGAAGGTTCCAGTTATCGGATCAGCTTGTGCTTTTGCGTTGTTTACCTACATGATGATAGGGTGCTATGACCAAAATTTCAGCTCAAGACCTTGCCTACAACACGCTCTATGAATTTCGTGACAGACAGACATAAGCACACACACACACACACACACACAGACACGCGCTTTATTATAAGTCATGATCTTTAAAGACCGTATAAAAGCAAAGTCAGATGGGAACTTTCATAAAAGGCTTGAGCATGCAATTGTTCAGGAGTCGTGGATCCTTGTTATCCAAAAATTTCACCTCGGCCGATGAGCGCTAGAGAATTCTTCTTCGATTTGCAACCATCGCACATGTATCAGAAAATGTCGGCAGATAAAACCACTCCGGTCAGTTGTTTGTTCATTAACTACTATCGTAGAAGTTAGACTGAAAAAGTAACCCAGTGTTGAATGGACTAGAACCGTAAATAGAACCGTAAGTTCCAATAGATTAACCTCTGTGTAACCATTGGATCAAAGTGGATAGCTATAAGCTAGTTACAATATTTCAATTTTCATGGCAGACCACTGCAATCTGTAATTGTGGATCAGTCTTACTAGAGTCATCTGCAAGGTTTTTTTTCGAATAATCTTCTATGAGTTGGGTGACAAATTGAAAGCGGTAATAAAAGCGATTTCCTTTTATAAGTCTGAGCATCGTGGAGCATTTTACCTTGTATTTTGTAATTTACTACATGAATAGTAATCGATAGATTTCGCGCCATCTCTGTACACAAAATGCTTTGCGAAAAGCTGTTAAATCTACGAAATAAATTTCAAAGTGAATCTGAGTATCTCAAAGCAAGAAATGCACATTGGAACAAACAGACGATGTTTGGTTACGATGATAAAAATTTGAGAAAGTTGGATTTTTTCACTCACCACTTCGTAGTTTCCTCCCCCCCTTCCGAGTTCTCCAAACCACCGTAGGGTCTCTTCACGTAGCCAGAAAAACCTATCTAGGCCATCCACGTATATTGTGAGAACTACTTCGGTTTTTGCTTTGGGTGTTTTTACGCAGCTTGTCCATTTCAGAGGCCGCTTCGCTAGCAACAGCCTAGGCTCACTCGCTTACCAATCGCAGCGGCAGCGCCGACCAATCGGAGGCGCGCAATAAGTGGGCTGTTAAAGGCAGCGGCTCGGCAGATGACAGTTTTGGAATATCCATCGTTCTTCGTTCCCCTAAATGAGCTAAGTCCAAGACTCTACTTTGCAGCTTCAAAAGATATTGATAACCCACTTGTCCAGACGTGAAAACTGCTATTTGGGCGGACGGCGTATGCCTGAGAGCGCGATTGGCTCGTGATGAAAACACCGTACCTACCGTACCCAAGAGCCAATCGTGCTCTATAGGGCAAACAGTCCTCCCAAATAGCACTCAAAAGCGGGTTATTGATATCTTTCAAAGCTGCAAAGTACAGTATTGGACTTAGCTCATCCACGGGGACCGAGACGATGAATACCCCAAAGTTGTCATTTTGCCAAAGCGCTGCCTTCAAGGCTAACGGTGTCTCTATCAAGGGTTCGCGAGCACTATGTATTTTCGTCATAGTTTCGGCTTCTGGTAAAAAACCTTTGATTTGTGCATTAGCAAGATTGAAAAGGTCACATCAAAAATTAACTGGCACGATATTCAGTCAATAAGCGAGAGCGGAATCCCAGTCGTTGTAGTGTTATTTTTGTAGTTAGTTTCTAGTCCCAGACAAAAAAGAGTGTTTGTTTTTTTTCACATTATTGGTTGATCTTTTACTGTGTATCAAAACTATTTCAGAAGGAAGCGGAGCCATCGAAGTCGGCAGGTGCAGGTGCCAAAAGCGAACCGAGTGCGCTACCAAGTGTCACTGGAGTGCCAGTGGATAGCTCGGAACCGAGCAGTGCAATTGTCGTGGAGAGCACACCTCTTCCAAAGTCGAGCAATATAAAGTCAGCTAAACTTGCGAAAGGACTTGAAGAAAATCCAACACAAAACGTGCCTTCCGTCGTGGAAGCTGCCGTTAAGACTGCAGAAGAGAAAAAGAACCCCCTTTTGAAAACAGCAGAAAAAACGCAGCCATCAAGTATGAAAACGCCAATCTTGCCGGCTAAACAACGGTCAAAAGAGAAATCCGAAGATCGGAAGAAGATTATGGGTAGTGCAGTACAGAAACGTACATCAGGTGAACGTACGAAAAACTCTGCCGAAAAGGCGCCCCTTCTTCCCTCGAAAAGCCCACAAAAATAACGCACATTTGCGTGTATGCATTTGTTATATGCTTTGCTAACTTTCGCCTTTTGTGTTCAATGAGCTGCTCAATATGCAGATTCTAATAAACATTGAGCATTTTATACGATGGGTAAACCAAGTATTTCTTACAACTTCTTCGGAGAACGCTCCATGGTAATGTTAACTATTAATAACTGAATTCTTGTATGTCGGCACACATAAATATTCTTTGGAGAACTAACTCAGACAAATGACCGGAAATTCCGCAGAGCGTTTGCGGAAGTTCCGCCGGGTCACCTGCGGAAGTTCCGTAAACGTGCTGGGAAGTTCCGAAATAAGGTCCTGCGGAAGTTCCGAAGAATGCCAACCACAACAGCAAAAGAGAACACCGAAGCGAGATTTGAACCTCACTCTATTGACTGTGAGACCCACCTACTATCCTCTACGCTACGGCTGACACGTTCGAAAATGCACTCTAGTTGTTGGCGAGGCGACATCACGAGACAACACATTCAAAGTCTTGCGGAAGTTCTGGCATGACAAAGTGCTGCGGAACCTCTGGCATTTTTCGGAGTTTCCGCAGGATTTTGAAGAAGGTTCTGCGGAAGTTCCGGTTTTCAACTAGTTTGGCATGAAAATCCCGCGAAAGTTCCGATTTTTAACACTTTCATTTTTGCAATAATGAACAAAATCCTGCGGAACTTCTGCAAATTTGGCTTGTCCTGCGGAAGTTCCGGTGATTTGTCTGGGAATAAGCTATAAATTTGTTTCTTCAATTTTTTATTGACTGAACTCAATTGGGTAAAAACAGAGAAAACTTTGTTCTTCTAAAAGTCATACATATAGAGTGCCTCAGAAGTTAGTACACATTCTTTCTTAGCTTCGAGTATCACCCAGTAGAGGCGGGCTTTAACTTAAATTTATGATTTGGAGCGAACTACTCATCGCTCTTCGTACTGTAGGATTACAGTAGGAACTTCCAGCATACAGCGCCAATGTGAGATAGGCCGCTTGAAAAGAAAATTCCAAAGAAATCTGAAAATTTGTGTAGCAGAGTTTCAGACATGCTGATTTCCTTTAACAACTCACAAGTTTTTAAAGCGTTTAAATGGTTAAATAAAATTTTGCAGATCCTTACGTGAGAGTGAGAGTTTTATATTCATGATCAGTGACCAAGTTTAGCTAACGATAAAGTTTTCGGCTCATTGAGTGTCTGTTCTGGGGACATGTGTACCACTGATAGCTCAGAAACCTCTCCAAAGTTCCTACCGCGGTCCTACAGTAATAAAGAATGACGGTAAGACGCTCCGTACTATGAATCTAACGGGTAAGGATACTTGGTGACCGGCCTTTCGGTATGTGACGTAAGTCCTGAATTTAGCCTTAAAACGCTGATCTAAAAACCGTATTCGTTATCTGCAGAACGATATTTCGGAAAACCCGTTTTTCCAGCCATCTGACTGTTTGCACCCCTTGCAAGACTCGAATGGAAGTTGAAGCCAAACAAAAGATATTTCGGAAAAGAGTTGAACTAATGAAAAGTTCACTCACTTTGAGAGGACCCCTGTATATCACGCGTTGCATTCTCAATATCAACGTTACCATTATTTCCTACGTTTCGTGAGGTGCACATTTGGTCGTATAGGTCAAAGCGAGCATAAGAAATACCCCTCTTGACTGCAAGCTGACCGTATTATTAGGTTGTCACAAAAGTAAACACCATTTACAAATAAAATGAGCTGTTTTTGTATTCCTAACAAACTCAGCATACCATTCGATAGAGCGAAGCAAGCTCTACAAAAAGATCACCAAAGATTCCCCTAAGTCATGAACCAGGTAAAATTTGGAGCCAAAAGTGAAAATTTTTCAGCTACCCTAAAAATCGGATCTATTTCCAGAAAACTCATACGGGCTTCCAATTTAGTCTTTATATAGCAGACACATAGTAGTACACCTAAACACGTATTTGGCGATTTATTTCGGGCTCAACAATGAGAAACAAATGTGGTCCTAAACTGCCAAAATGCCACTTTTTTGGATTTTCCATGTGAAACTTGGTATTTCTCTATTATAAGAGCACATATTAAGTTGCTGCATAAGTTCTGTCCGATTTTTTCTGCCTTATGTTTAAGGCAGCTGTTTTAAGAGAATTTCATCTCTAATGTGGTATTGTTAGTATCATTAGAAAGTGCATTTCTTGCGCTTTCTAATGCATATCAAATTTCAATAAATTTCTTGGTGTAAGGAGATTTCAGGCCTAAAATCTCCAAGTGACAGAGGTACGTTCTCACCCTAGAAATATGTTCTTGCGAAGAAACCTCCACAATGCTCCCTTCAGGTCAAGTTTTTCAAATGGTTGCGGAATAAGGGTGGAATAGGCTAGCATACTCAGACAAATGACCGGAACTTCCGCCGGGTCACCCGCGGAAGTTCCGTAAACGTGCTACGGAAGTTCCGAAATGAGGTCCTGCGGAAGTTCCGAAGAATGCCAACCACAACAGCAAAAGAGAACACCAAAACGAGATTTGAACCTCACTGTATTGACTGTGAGACCAACCTACTATCCTCTACTCTACGGCTGACATGTTCGAAAATGCACTCTAGTTATTGGCAAGGCAACATCACGAGACAACACATTCGAAGTCCTGCGGTAGTTCTGGCAGGCCAAAGTGCTGCGGAACCTCTGGCGCTTTTCGGAATTTCCGCAGGATTTTGAAGAAGGTTCTGCGGAAGTCCCGGTTTTCAACCATTCTGGCATGAAAATCCCGCGGAAGTTCCGATTTTCAACGTTTTCATTTCTGCAATAGTGAACCAAATTCTGCGGAACTTCTGCAAATTTGGCTTGTCCTGCGGAAGTTCCGGTGATTTGTCTGAGAAGCATAAGTTCAGTTTCATGAAGAAAACGTCTTGCTAGTCAAATTTATTGTCAAACAATAATTTTCTGTATAGATGTTTTACAAGCTATAACTTTCTGCGAATAGAAGCAATCGACGACTTCAAAGTTGAAGGTGTTAGTGTAAAGCAAGGGCTAGCAGAGACCAATTTCTTTTTGGCGCTCACGTCAATTGTAAAATTTTCATAATTCGTAAATAGGCAGGCACACATGCAGCGAGGCGAGGTCAAAAAATGGCTTCTTTTTTGCTCGGTCAAAAAAATCTCTCGGCAACGCAGGCCCTATGGGCTCTTTTTGTCGCAAAATAATCTACAAAAATTTCTCTACCATCCATTGTTAGACAAGATGCCTATCAATTCTCATAAGGGAGCATTGTCATGTCAAAAAAAACAGGTTCGAAGAAAAACGCTTTTTTGAGTTCTTGATTCTTCCTTAATAAGGATTTTCGCAGGTTTCAATATGTTTCTGATAGCCAAAGAATTGCTCAACACACAGAAACTAAGATCTTGTGAAAAAGTTGACTTTGAAGAGAGTTATGACAATTTGAACTCAAAAAATTCAAATTGGACAGAACTTATGCAGCAACCTATTACAGAGTTAAAGTTTTAAAATTGTACTCCGCAATGCTTATAGTATACAATGACATACGTGGGAGAGGCTGGGGGCGGAGTTTGCCATTTTTGGACAATTTTTCTTTCTCACTTTCTATGCTAGCAAGAAATCCGGTGAAAGCATATTTGAGTACTACTATGTGTCTACTGTATAATGAACCAGGTTGGAAGTCCGTACGAGTTTTCTGGAAGTAGATCCGATTTTTAGGGTAGCTGAAATATTTCGACTCTTGGCTCCAAATTTTACCTGGATTCTTTCTCGCGAAAATCCAATTTTTAGGCGACAAAATTTTTTTCAATTTTGGCTTTGAACTTTCCATGGAATGCGGCTAACGCGGATTCCCGTTGGTCATCTTGTAGAGCTTTATTTACTCTAACGAATGATACTCCAAGTCTAGTGGAAAAACAAAAACAGCTCGAATTATTCAAAAAAGAAATTTACTTCTGAGACAACCTAATTTGGATTTCATAGTGGATATGTGATTGGCTGGGTTCCCTACATGAAAACTGAGAATGGCCCCACTGCAGACCGAGGTGAACATCTCACCCATATTCATCCATCGTCAAAAAAAACCAGCACTGCGGAGATGAATTATTCTATTGCACTTCATGCATAATCGCAGATTTTTCGATGAAATTAGAATCAAAAATGCGTATGCGACCGTATCTTTACCGTACGATATCATCCAAGATCAGATGCAACCTTTTCTCAAATTCTGACTAGGATTTTTCGAAGCCAAATTTCTTGGTGTTGACAGGTCGTGTGCATTACTGTATAGCCACTAACGCTGACTGCTCTTCCGTCTTGGCAAGTTGTCAAAAAACATAAACCGTTTGTGTTTATGGAAATTTATTTTAGTTGGTGACTTTAGTGAGTTTTACATTTTCATTTAGGGCTTTTTCGGCAGTGCAATAATCTCTCTGGGGATTTTATTCAGGGCGGTTAGCAGCGAAAATATCTGTTACATCTTTATAAAGCCGACTGCACAAAATCGCCCGGGTCGCTGTAGGCTGAACGCCCACGAGCGTGCCTGCAACGCGGCTGCCGAAATGCCAATGTTAGCCCACAGGAGACACGCTCGCGTGCGTTCAGCCCGGGCGATTTCATGCAGTCAACTTTACACTCGTGGATATTTTTTATTGGGATGATATCGGGGCATAAATAACATGAGCATCAAGTTCTGCGGAGACTAAGTATGTTTGTGACAGCTAGTAATTTATACAACTAGAAATCAGCAGAAGAAACTTGTGAGAAATTCCCAGCAAAATTCTTTACATCAGTCCGAATTGATCATTCTCGAAAAAGAACTACCTCATGTTCTAGGTACGAAATTTGTTTGACTTCAAATTGAGATTGCTATGTTTAGATTGTAGAAATTTAGCAAAATCTACAGATCACGCAACTCAAACATTTCTTGCTAGAAAGAATTCCAGTTATTAGAGATGTAGAAGGTAAATGATTTTATGAATTTCTTCAAGAAAGAAGGAAATAATCAAAAGAAAATTTTTTAGCCTTGCAAAGTTATAGGTCAACACTTGCATTATTTTATCGTTTCAAAGTCAGCGAAATTAGATAATT